GCCAAAACTCCCTGCTGCCGTGGAACTCACGCGAGCCTCCTTCCCTCCCTGGGTAGTTTCTAGGGGGAGAAGTTGCGATGCCACCTAGCGCACTCAGGAGTCTCACCCTGGATTCACATTCGGTTGACACTTATAAGGTCCCGTTACTTTCAAAGTAGTTTGAATCCAGTTATCTTATGCTTTGGAATGGTTCTAGGAAAAAGGATTTTTGTAATCCTCATTTTACAGATAAGAAATCAGAAACCTAGAAGCTGTGACTTGTCCGAGGCCATTCAACTCCGAGTCACTGGGGCCAGGACTTGAAGCCGTACTGTCCGATGCAGGGTCCCCTGCTCTTCCTGTGACGGCAGCCGGGGCAGAAACACCAGGGTGGCTTCCATTCATTCCACTGCCTGCTCTATTTCAGTTCCACGAGCATTTGTGGGGCCCCTCCTAAGTGCCAGGCTTGTGACCTGCCGGGAACACAGAGACTGTCTAAGCCCTGCCCCGAGGAGTTCAGAGTTCAGTGGGGAAACTCTTGGTGCATGAGCAGGGATGCAGTGTGCTGAGTGTAAGGCCGGCGCTATTTATAGATATTGGGAAACAGAAGAGGAGCACCTAATCTACGGCAGGGTCAGGACATGTCAAAAAGGACACACCGGAGATCACCCCTGAGCCAAATCTGAAAGCGTGACTTGGCCAGGGACAAGGGAAGGAGTGTGAGCGACAGCAGAGATGCGTGGTGAATGCAGAGGACAGGGGGCTTTTAGAGGTGCTGGCGTGTACAGCATGAGGCAGGGCCAGGGATCAGGCTGGAGGAGTTAGTAGCCTCCGGAGGAAACCCTATTCTACAGGCAGAACTCCTACCAGGGCCACTCTTGTAAGTGGCTTTGCTTCAGTTTTCTGCCCCGGTCCAGTGAACTGTATAGCCAGAAGAACAGCATGTACGAAGCATAGCGACCTGCACTTTCGGAGTTGCTCAGAAGGGGGCAAAGGGCACATGGGCATGCCGTCCGCTCCGAGCTTTGCCAGCGAGTGTGATGTTGCCACGAGGTCAGCGCACGTGTGGTCCAGGACGGAGGCGTGGTAGGAGCCTCGCCTCGCTGGAGGCAGGGAATTTTCAGTCGCATCAGAGTGTCCGCCTGCCTATGTGGTCATCTTCAACAGCTTGGTCGTGGGACGAGAATTTAAACCCTGATCCAGCTTTGATTTGGGGGAGTTGGTCGCTAAGAGAATGGAGGTCGTTGGTGATAAAATAGCTTTAGGAGATTGGCCGTGAGGTCCAGGTTGGAGAGAGAAAAAATCATCGACAGGGAGAAGACGGGTGGCCGAGGGACTGGGGCTTTCTGTGCGGTTGAAGAGCAGATGCGGGGGAGGAAGGGCTGTGTGGTCAGGAAGGGAGGGCGGAAAGCAGAGTCTTTAAGGTGTCTAAGGTGCAGACTACCTGAGTGGTGTTACCTCTGGGGTGTGGCCGTAGGAGCGGGCAGCGGGAGAAGAGGACACGGGTTTTGGAGTCAAGGAAATGTGAAGCTGGGGTATGAGGTGAATCATTGTCTGGTTACTACGAGTGTGGGGTTAGCAGTGAAGAGACAGAATGTGGCAAACTAGGGCCCAGAGTCCGGAATGAAGGAGGGAAAGCGAAGGAGAGACTAATGCACGAGGACAGCGAAGAGCAGTCCAGGATGCCAAATCAACAGGGTGTGGACCTCAAGGAATTTGCTTCCTTCCAAACCAGTACTTCATGGAATAAAGGTGTGGAAGCTGTCATGGTGAGCTTGGGGAATCCCAGCCCCTCGGCCTGGGTACCGCCGAATATGGGGCAGGGGAGAGTGGAAGTCTTCTGTCGGGTGGGGCGCTGAGCTAAACCGCATTCTCTGGAGAGGGCCACGTTTCGCTCGTATCAAGAGGAAAAACAGAGTTTTGTACAGCACGTTATACTGTTGTGCCTCCATGCAATATCCCTGGGCTATTTGGGACTCTCCTTTATCTGTGTTGCCAAAACAACCATAATTTTGTGTACATAGTTAATCAGATATTTAGCACTAACTAGGCTTTAAACACTGTGGTCGATACTGAGATGGATACAGAACCTTATACTCACAAGTTTAAGGACCAGTGGGAGCCATAATTATACACTAGTAGCTGGATAAACCACCTTTCTCATCTTATTTCAGGTGTTCCCAACCATATCCCAGCCAGACCAGACCTCCTTACTGTGTGCCCCGTGGGTTCTCACCCCCACGCCCTGCCTCATGCCGTGCCCCTCGGCACCGCGGCCCCAAACCCCGTCTGCCCTTGGGATCTTCCGTGTGACTTCCCCTTCTCCTCCAGAGGAAGTACCCTCTCCTTGCCCGGGTTCCCGAAGCCATTCCCGCCGTGCCTCTCTGAAACAATCCCGTGTGCCACCAGTTCTGAGGTGCACAGATTTTGCTTTTCAGCATCTCTGTGTGTAGATTCTTCTTGAAAGATACGCTCTGTCATCAAAATTCTTAAAAGGATACGGGAGAATCGTCTGGAAAACACAAACAGCTCCTCTGAGTCAAAAAGCAGCTCGGAGAATGGGGAAGCATTAGGAGTACCCTGACCAGTTCGTGTTGCGTGTGTTCTTGCGTAGACGCTGTGTGGTGTGTGACAGAGCCTGCCTGAATGAGTTTTTAAAAGACATCTGCCCTAAAAGGTCTGAAATAAAAGGTCTAAGCAGTACAGCATCGTGTTGTAGTCTCGTCGGCAGCTTTTTCCTTAGCACACACAAAATAATGGCGTGACAGTCGCTGGTGTGCTAGATTCAGAGAAAGAGGATGACTTTTGTGCTTAAATATGCCAGGCGTTAGGAACATGCACCTTCCTAACTGTCGTCTACCTTCACTGTGTCGCGTATTTATATTTCATTTCCGGATCCTATGTTATGTAAGCTGCTTGAAGGTGGAGGTGGTGTTTGTTTTATCTTTGAATTTTTTACATCACCTTGTATGGTACTTCACAACAAATAGACATAAAATAAATACGTATTAAATAAATGGTTTACAATATGACGTATGCTCTAGGCACCACAAAGGGCCGAGTTCAAGTACTGCACGAGCGAACATCTACTAGTACGTTCCCAGTCAACCGCTCAACCGTGTTGTTGTCAGGATGCATTTACACATGGTATTTGGTCAGGCTGTAGGCTGGATGTCACTGTGGGCCAGTGGGTTTTGACTCGACCACAGACAGGCCCTAGTGGAGTCTGTAAACCCAGGTCTGAGCAGGTGGGGAGACGAGTCCTTGCTGAGTCAGAGGAAGTAGGAAACAAGCCCTTGCCTCGGAGAACAGGTGACTGCGGCCGTCCTCACTGACGCCACAGTCGTACAGGAGGCCGGACAAATGCCGGTCTCCGAGAAATACAGGGCTTTAATGAACGCCCTGTCTTCCGCCCGCCGATCGGCCGCTCTGAGCCTGAATGAACAACCAGCCTGGGGCATTTGTCTATGTGCCGTTTCCTAGGAGTTTTTACCCTTATTCTTTGGGGTACAAGAACAACAAGAAATGACATAAGCATTTTTTCAGTCAACAAAGTGGTTCTACTTCTGATTTAAATAAGTTTGTTTCTGTTTTTCCCAGTGGAAGGAGCAATGCCTGTGTGTTTTCAACACACATGGCACAGAAAAGCACTGTAGTAGTCCACTCTGCTGTCCACTAATACTTCCAGTTCTCTTTCTGATGCATGGTAGGACTACACATCCTTTCCCTAATAAAATTGGGTGTGGTCACATGACCTTTTGTCCAATGAGACCAGACCTGGAGATTTAAGAGCTGGTACGCCATTCGTCACAGTTCCTTTACCCTGCCGCAGCAAGTGCAGAAGCACGTGGCTGGAGCCCCCCCTCAACCAAAGCCCCGTGTGAAGGCAGTGGAAGGCTGGGCCCCCAGCTTTAACTGACCCACTTACAGACATGTAGCATGTTTACTGCTACTGAGATTGCAGGGTCATTAAATAAACGCAACCCAGCTCACCCGGATTACTATGGTCCTCACCCCGAAGCAGTGGGTATGGCAGTAACTAAAAGAATGGAAGAAATTGAACGTGCTGATCCTGGCCCCGTGGTTTTTTTCCTTATGGAAAGATTTGCTGGACACGGCTTTTATAAGATAATGATCATCTCATGGTGTTAATTTCTATGTGTCAAAATACTTTTCTTTGAATAACAACATTTTCTCAAAGCATTTTGACATACTTTTATTAGATGTCCTTTCATCTGCCAACAATAGAATTTTTTTCTTGAAAGCAGCGATCATCGTCATTTATTCTTGTGTTTATTCTTTTATTCAATCAACTTTCCTGGAAAGCCCATTATTTGCCAGGCAACAAGACCAAGAAGATGTTCAAGGAGCCCTAGATGGTTTGGTGGAAAGTGGCAGGAGTTTTGGTGCTTCCGTGGTTCCCCAAATGACACCTGTTTCCTTGTAAAATAGTTCATCCACATTTAAAACTTCACTTTACAAATACCATGTCCAATTTTAACACTTTTGAGACCACCGACACATTACTCTGTACTGATAACGTTTTTTTTTAATTCCTTCGACGCACCAAGTAACTTCCGATCTCGGGGCATGTGTACCTGTTTCCCTGTTTTCCTTTAATTCGGTTCAGGAAATTCCTGGATGCTATTTCTATTGAAATTGCTGACACCATCTTCACAGGCAGGAGTATATTTTTCGGTATTGTTAGGCTTTTAAGAAATCTATTATTACAGTTAGCTCCTCTACTATTGCTAGTATAGAACCTATTTAAGAAATAAGAAATTAAATGCTATCAAAAAGTTTGATTATCCCAGTTATGATAGAAGGAGACGATTTTGGTCTTATTACCAGGGGGTTTCAAGCAACTCTTATTTACAAACTGAAACATTGAAAGCTGGGCCCTGTGTCTGGTCTTCACTGTAAAACTCTGAGCGTTGTCCACGAAGGCGGTGCAGCAGAGCACACGGACCTCGGGGTGCCCTCCGGCTCTCTCTCCCGTCACCTCTGCCTTTTCGTTCCAGGGGTTCTTCAGCAAGCGCCTGAAAGGCTCCATCAAGAGGACCAAAAGCCAGTCGAAGCTGGACAGAAACACGAGCTTCCGGCTGCCATCCCTTCGCAATACAGAGGACAGGTAGGAAGTGAACTTGCTTAAAACTGGAAAAGCAGTTTTACAGTGGGTTTTGATAAGGCATATTGGTCTTATCTGACTTTGATACTTGGGTACCATTGACAGTTGGAAATATCCAATACAAATGTACTGTTTTGTCTTGCTCATATTGAGGTGGGGTCCAAATGCCAACTCAAATGCCCAGCCTGTTTAAGACTCTTAGAATATTGGAGAGTGTGTGGGTGCACGGTGCTGCTTCTGCAGCATCCAGGTCTAGTGGTCCGAGCTCGTGTCTTTTGTAGAACGACTGTAAGCGATGATGATGATGATGATAGCTCACACTTTTATGAGCACTATACACATTGTCCTGTTTAATCTGTATAATAATCCTGTAAGATACTAAGTTAGCCTTTTGTAATCCTGTAAGAGGTTGGGTTATTTTGTGAAAGGTGATACAGCTCCTCCACAAATAGCAAAAATAGCATTTGAAACTTCGGGTGGTTTGCCTCCGGAGCACTTGCTCTCTGCTGCCATGTGGTTCTCCGGGTACAGCGGACGGGATTGGCCTCGTGGCGTCGCGGTGATGGCCAGAGGGCACGCATGACCAGGAAGCCTGGATTTTAATCACTGGGACTACCAGCTTGTGTAAGCCCCAAATGCATATGTTAACAACCTTCTAGAAATCTCTGAATGTGTGCTAGGATGGACACATTTTGGACACTTCATGTTCCATCATTAATAAATAAAATTTAGGAAGTAGTACTTTTTGTATCTTGGCATGTCACCACCATCACCTGGATTATTGAGTGCCTACTATGTGCCAAGCATTCTGCGTATTTCCCCATGTAATACCACCCTAGGTACTATTATTACTATCCTCACTTTACGGATGAGGATCTGAGGCAAAAGAGATTGAGAGACTTGCCCAGAGTCACACAGCTAGTAGAGCTTGGACTTGAACTCGTATTTGCCTTTCATATTTGATACTCTTATTTATACTTGGATTTGTTTTGTTTCAGCAAATCCATTGTTTTCAGTTGTCTGCATCACAGCTGCAGAGATACAGATTATAATCTCTGTAATGGTGGATTATAGACTTGCCAGGAGGAATTACTCTTCTTCTTTTGAGGATGAAAAAACTTGCCCCGCATACTGAGTTGATAAGAAACTACTGCTTTATCTGCCCTTCTTATCCGTGGATCACATTAGAGGTGCTTGGTGAAATTTGCAAGTCTATTCAATCTGCAGCGTAATTGTGTTGTTCATTATCTCTTTCATACCTCTGTGTATTAAGGTAATTTTTAAAATCCAGTCTTTCTCTTCTTCTGCCTTTTCCTTGGGTTCCTATTATTCTGCAACTTTCATCATTGTTAAGAATGCAAAACAGTTTATAAATAAGTGTTAATAAAATGGAGCGACAGATTTTTTTCATAATATTGGCAACAAGGACGTTATGCAGCAACTGAAATGAAACTCCCGGTTCCACCGGTGGGCGTTCCGCTCTGCGGCAGCGCGTGTAAACGCGGGGGCAGGGCGACAGTTTTATCGGAAGTGCACTTCAGTTTTTAAACTTGCACTAAATACCACTTTCTTTTTTTAAAAACACTTTTTATTTCATTCTTTTTTAAAAGATTTTATTTATTTATTTTTAGAGAGGGAAGGGAAGGAGAGAGAGAGAGAGAGAGAGAGAGAGAGAGAGACATCAGTGTGTGGTTGCTGGAGTTCATGGCCTGCAACCCAGGCATGTACCCTGACTGGGAATCGAACTTGTACCCTGACTTAGGCTCGCAGCCCGCGCTCAATCCACTGAGCTACGCCAGCCAGTAGATATCACTTTCTTACTCTCAAAGCGCTCTCTTCTACTCCATTTGCTTTATGTAGCCTACAGGAATTCTTGGATTGAATTACAAAAAGACTCTGTTCTCCAGAGTCTCTTACGTTGCTACCGTGTAGCGGTAAGACCGCCTTGCCAGCGGTCTGAGTCTGTTAGATGCGCCTTCCATGACATTCTGCCTCAGCAACAGCAGCACTTTCCTGTCTCGAATACAGCACAATAAAAGACACTGGTACATCTCAAGTATTAACCAACACTTTTTCATTTGGAAAATCCATTTGAATCATGGAGGTTTTCTCTAGAGAAGTTTTTCAAAAACTTTATTCTTGTTGTATAGGGGTGTGCTCACAAGAGTTTGAGAAGTAGTCTCTCTTGCCTTCAGATCACCTGAAGACACAGATAAATAGAATAAGGCACAAGGTATGAATGAACGGAGTTCTTTGAGTCGGTGCCCTTACTGGTGTGACCAAAGATTTTCCGAAGACCCCTGGTTTTCCTGGGTCGTCTGCATAGATTCCTGAAGTCTGGCCAGTTCTTCCAAAATGACAGATAGTGTGTGAATCTAAGTACTGAACGTTTCTACTCTTATATCAAATCTATGGAAAGTCTAGGTAAACCTGGTGAGCAGCCCCTTTTTCAGTTTTTAAATTGTACAGTAAAATACACATGTATCTTTGTTTTTTTTTCAAGTTTCAATATATAAGTACGGGATGAAAAAACGAAAGTCTCTCTTCACCTTCCCCATCTCCCATATAAATAACCTCATTAACAATTGGTATATGTTCAAACTGCCTTAAAAATCCATACATGAATGCCCACATATGTGTGTTTTGCTTGTTTTGCTATAGGTGGGATTGTGACTTTTATTATAAATATTTTGGACAACTTTGTGTGCCAGTACATGTAAACTGCATCATTTTGTTCACGTGGTGCCTTCTTAGTATGCTACAGTTTTTTTAATATACATACTTCACTTCTTGATTGATATTTAAATTGTTTCCCCCTTTTCAACACAAAACAGAGATGCAATGAACATTTTTGAACGTATGTGATACCTTTGTGTCCCCATGGGATTGGGTCAGATTTCTCCAATGGAACTACTAGATGTAGAGTATGCACTTAACAAGGTCCCCTTCAGGAAAGCTGTTTCAATTTTCACGCCCACCAACAGATTAAGACCACTTTCATCTTTCACACAGCTATTCACATATGATTGACATGACTAATGAATAGCAGTCATAAGCATGTATATAGCATTTACTCAGTGCCAAACACCGTGCTAAGCATCTTACATAAACTAACTCATCTCATCATCTGAATAACCCTCTAAGGGAGTCACTGGCATGACCTGGTTTTGAAGGTGAGAAAACTAAGACAGAAATTAGTAAAAATTGCACAAGGTCACACAGCTCAGAAAATGGCGGAAGTGTGGTTCAAATCCAAGAAGTCTGGCTCTGGAGCCTGCATTGTTACTTAACCTTTACACCATACACTGCCACTCACAAAAGGCCGGGGAGTGGGGGATTTCTTTCTTTTAATTTGAGTTTCTCTAACACCTCGTAAGTTGAACCTTTTTTCACATTTTCTTCTATGACTTCCCTGTTCACTCCGTTGCCCATTTTTCTGTAAAGCCTTTTGCCCTTTTTCTTACGATTTGGAGAGAGCGCCGTGTTACTGCAGCAAGTCCTCAGTTAACAGCGTTGCTGGGCTCTGCACCCTTAAGCGTAATGATGTATGTGAGGAAACCAGTTGTAGCCCGGGCTGCTTGGTGTAAGCAAGAGTTCGGTTCCTGCAGCATCTCATCCACGCCACGAGGACACAACGCTGAACAAAGGGGCGTCATTCCAGGGCTCGCTGCACTGTGGTAGTAGGGGTTGCAAGCCACTGTTACGCATGTTGCTAATATTCTCTCCCAATCTCTTTCTTGTACTTCAAAACCATGTCCCTAAATTATAGAGACGCTTCCGCTTTTCACTTGGTCCCACATGCCAGTCCTTTCCTCGGTGGCTTTCCTGGCCAGAACTGACCGGGGATCTGTTTCTCATTAAATTTCTCATTATGATGCCGTGCAAATAATTTCATCTCTCCCTTTATCAAAAGAAGGAAATATTCTACCCAGAGGTATCAGAGGATAATGAAGTAGTGATCCTATTTTCAGTTCTTGAAGGTTTTTGATAAGCACAAGCCTTAACTGCACTCATATTTTTAAAATGTAAAATTACTCTCCTGAGGTCTGAGTCACGATTTTAAGATGGCAGAGAAACAGTTCTAAGTGAGTTAATTTTATCTAAAGAAGGCTTGCTACATAGGAGCAGAAAGCTTCTCTGTGCAAAACACCACAGGGTGTTTCAACACGCACACCGGAGCGATCACACAGGCCCCGGGGCTCCAGGTGTGTCTGGCCGGTGACCACACGTCACACTCGGCTCTGAGGCCCTGATGGCATTTGGTACCAGTGTTGCTTTTGGGGGTGAATTTGTCAGGATCCTTAAACTCAGAATTTCCTTTGTGAAATGGTAGGGCATAGGCACAAATAATATTTCTAAAAAACAAATGTCTTGATATATAGTAACGTATTTCACGTGTGACAGCCCTGTGCAGAGTCCAGAGCCACACGCTGCAAGGAATGTAGAGAACGAAACACAGAGCCCCGACCTCACAGAATCTGGTGGACGAAGTAGATGCCCAGGAGGAAATGGTGTGAGAGGAGATTACTTCCTGTCGGCGGAGCAGGAAAGACCTTAGAGGGCAGTGGTCTGTGAGGTGAACCTTCACGCACAGGCATAATTTGAACTTCGGCACAGTCACAGGGAGAGAGATTTCCTCAGAATGGAATTTATGAGCAAAAGCAGAGAGTAGGAAATTACAGCGCTTAAAGAGAAATACTGAATATGATTCATGGTATGCAATGAGATGAGGTAGGAAATAAGACTGGAAGGTAAAGCTTCAGTTTTTAAGTTGATAGGTAAAAGCTTTTCTGCTTTTTTTGTCTTCAAAATAATTCAGTATCAGAAAGAAATATGAACTCCATCTTTGATGAAACTAGGAGAAAGCTGAATGATAGACGACTTAAAATCAGAGGAAGATCGGGTATAGCGTCCTGCAAAAAGGAAATTATGAAACGAAGTCTATCACTTAGGATTCAGGTCAGCTGCTAATTAACAGATATTCAGAATCATACTGGCTTAAA